CATTCTATTAGATTTTCCTCTGAGTTTTGATTATCAGACTTATTATAATGCCCATATATCACCTATATTTTTATAGTGGAAATGGAAGGTAGTTTTGGCAACAAGGAAGGTATGACATAATTATTCAAGAATTTCTTTTTATATTCTGCTTCAGAAACAAATGCCAGCAACTATTTTAACTAAGATTCACAGAAATATTTACTCACACCCTGAATTATGTACTATATTCCCTTGAAGTATCAGGGACTTCCATTCTGTTCATCCATAAAAAATTGTGATTCTTTTTCTTTTCTCTTCTTTCTCTTTTCTTCCTTCCTTCCATTCTCTCTCTCTCTCTCACTCTCCCCCACTTTTTTCTTTCTTTTCTTCCTTCCTTCCTTCCTTCCTTCCTTCCTTCCTTCCTTCCTTCCTTCCTTCCTTCCTTCCTTCCTTCCTTCCTTCCTTCCTTCCTTCCTTCCTTCCTTCCTTCCTTCCTTCCTTCCTTCCTTCCTTCCTTCCTTCCTTCCTTCCTTCCTTCCTTCCTTCCTTCCTTCCTTCCTTTCTTTCTTTCTTTCTCTCTCTCTCTCTCTTTCTTTCTCATATTTGGTTCCAAGCAGTGCCAAGAGTAATTAGAATAAATGAAGACCACTGCTATGAAAAGCTGGTCCTTATCAACCTCTCCCATGGTAAATGTGCTGCACAGAATAATAAGAGATCAGCTTTGAAGTTTAGCACAACGGTCATGCATGAGACCAAATATATATGGCTAATGTGGAGTGATGGCTACAGCTGTGACTAGGTCTACAGTTGTCTGTCACATAATTCCAGGAATTCAAATGAGTTGCTGTAAGATTGCTGTGATGCTCTGACAGAATCACATCTTAGAAAGGGACAAAGACTTGGATCTTTCTCAAAGTCAAGCTATTAACAAATGTCTGTGTTGTCCAGTTCAGCAGCCACTAACCACATATGGCTACAGAATATGGTGAGTCTGAGAAGTGCTGTAAATGTAAAGCATAAAGTGAATTTCAAAGATTTGGTATTAAAAAAATACATGCCATATCTCATTAATATTTTAAAATTTTTATATTTAAAATTTTTAAATGTAATTTTCTTTAAGAATTATTTATTATCGTTTGTTAATTTGACTAGAGAGACACAGAGAAAGAGTGAGGGAAAGTTAGAAAGCAAGTCACCAGGTCCAGGACTTGAACCACAATCCACCAGGTGGGAGCCTAGTGCCTTAGCCACCATGCCACCTGCTGGCCCCTTAAATATAATTTTAAACATTAATTAGATGATGCATTTATCTTTTCAATATAGTGGGGTTAAATAAGATACTATTAGAGTTTGTTTCATTTTTTTAATGTTTTAAGGTATGGATGCATGAAAGTTTTAAATGATATGTACAGTTCTCATTATATTTCTATTGGACTGTACCATTCTAGTGTGCATCCCAGTCTCTCTTTGTTTGTTTCTTCCTTTTTCCCTTTCTTTCTTTCTTTCTTTTTTTTATTTGTAACTCTCCAGAGGGACAGAGAAAGAGAGAGAGAGAGACGGAAAGTGAGAAAGTACCCTTCCCATGGGGGGGTGGCCGTGCTGCAATCCCTTCTCTTCCTTCTCCTTTCAGAAATGTTTGCATATATGCACAAATGACTGGAGTGTTTTTCAAGTTGCCAGATTTGGGATTCAAATTGCACCGTTGACTGCATGGAATTCAGCCACATAAACCATCAGGCCACAGCTGCCCCACCCCATTTTCATTTTTGAGAGAGAGGAAAAGAAGGAGAGAGAGGGTTTTGAAAACATCTTGCCATGTTATAGAGTCCAGCGATCTAATGTAGTTAGCCCAGCTATCTTCTATATCACTCTCTCTTTCACTGAGCAAAGCAACCTCAGGGTAATGAAAACCAATGTCACTAGTTCCTTAAGAAAGATGCAATTATGATGGCCCCCCTTCTACCGAAAGACAATCTTATGCCACTAAATAATTAATATTATGTAATTATTGGATCAGAGAGTTATTCAGGCAGGATGGGTAATGGAAAGTGAACAGGAAAAGGAGTCCAAGGGCAGGGATTCAGTCTGGAGTCTACTACAGTCTAGGCCAAGCCCACGTAAGATTTCTGAACCTTGGTTTCCTCACCTGTAAATGGGGATGACGATGGCAATTCCTCTTGTAATAGACTGAAGGGGTAAGTAATGAATTTTCTTTGAAAAATAAAGCCTTATCTATGAACTGAAAAGTATTACTCAAATATTAACTATTATTATTATTATTATCATTATTTCTTAAGAGAGATTTTTTTTCGATAGGGTGAGTGTGCTTTCCAAAGAGACAAAGAGAGAGAGGCAATAAGTGAGAAATCATCCCCCGGGGGTATGGCCACACTGCAGTCCCTTCTTCTCCATTCTCCTCTCTGGATTTTGGGCACACACACACTTGTGCCCGGTGTAAGTATTTTTTTTTTTCTTTTGAGAGGTTTTTTTGCTATAGGGTATGTGCACTCTCCAGAAAGACAGAGAGACAGAAAGCGAGAAATCACCCCCCAGGGGGGAATGGCCATGCTGCAATCCCTTCTCCTCCATTCTCCTTTCTCCTCTTGGGATCTTGGGCATGCACAAACACGTGCCCAGTGTGAGTTTAAGCCACCAAATCTGGAACTCGAACCATGGTGGTCTACATGGGAGTCCAGCAACATAACCTTTATGCTGTCTGCTGGTCCCTGAACATAAGTTTTAAGCTGCCAGGGTTGGTACTCAATCCGTGGTTGACTACATGGGAGTTCAGCAATGTAACTATTACACCATCTGCTGGTCTCTTAACTATTATTATCTTAATCTACTGGATTCCAAGCCTGCCTATACTGGGATACAGCCACTGTGCTCCATGGTGTGATGTGATAGAGCACAGGTAGACAAGGGTTACTTTGTGTACAACACTTAATCTCTCAGGATCTTGGTTTTCTCTTCTTTCTTCCCTGTTTACTTTAAAGACTCATTGAAAGGGCTTCTTTATAAAAAAATATCAAAAAAGTGCTTGAAATCTGAAAATTAGACTGGCTCTACAGCTGAATAGTAAGCACTGTGTGTAAAAAGTTGGATCCCATACAGCTGAACATGGTTTGAATCCTGGCTCCAGTGGTTTGAAAAGCATGTGGGCCTGTGTACATGAATGTCCAAAATCCCAACTGACAGAGAAATGAAGGGAAGAGGATGGTGGTGTAACTACACCTCCACTGGGGGTTGTTTACTCTCTCACTTTGGCGACCATGTGCATCCTCTGGCATTAAAAAAAAGGAAACTATGAAGTCTTATATAAATGTTAAAATGTAAAGCATTACTGTTGTTGATTTAGGTACTCATTAAGAATAGATTTTTACTATAAAAGAGAGAAAAAAATCCTATGTTATTTACTTAACCCCCTCCGCCTCTTTCTTGCTTTCTCTCTTTTTTTTTTTTTTTCTTTTTTTAACAAGAGGGAGCAGGAGAATGAGAAAATGTGGACAGAAAAGAGAAAAGGGTGATTTTTTTTTCTTTTTGCTAAGGTCTTGCCCTGCCACAAATGTCCTATCTAGCCCCCCACTTAGGAAGCAACAAGGAAACATACCTCTGCACCCTACATGTTTAGGTTGAGACAAGAACCAAACCAGGGCCTCCCAGATGGCCTTCATCACTGCACAGTGGTGTTCCCACTTGTGCCACCAGTACCTCCCTCATTGTGAAGAGCAGCCACTGTCAAGTTCCTTCTAACTCACATGTACTAATTCACGATGTCGGTGGTGATAAGATAGAAACTGAAAAAAATGCAGGTTAGAGTATCCATCCTTGGTTTAGCTCTTGACAAGATGAAACTTAGAAGAGTCTCTGCCCCCATTTTCAAGTGGAGCCACATTCAGTACAATATTATGACTATAATTGTAGGATAAGACCCTAACAAGATATGCCATTCTGTAGGCAAGCCATTATATTTAGTTTCTTTAGAAAAAATACTCATCTATATGATTTTTGAAACCAGCATTATATGATCTGACTACCTGCAAGGACACTGACAGGATTTTACCCAAGCATTAAGTGATTCGGGCTCTAAGTAGGGTATAGACAGATGCAAGAAGGACTTTAAAACATGAGTCTTTAGAATTTCACATAAATATATGCTCATGAAAGGAGTAAAAAGATATTAACCGGTATCTAGTTAAACTGTTAGGTGGTCAGGAAAGCCATGACGTATTTTTTATTTTTGTTTTCCTATGCAAAAATGCTTCATGACTTTCCCAGCAACCCAATAGAACTAATTTTCCTCACATCTTTCGATTATTATTGTTTTAAAAAGAGTTTCCCAGTACTGACATTTTCTTTTCTGCCACAGCTGTGGACTTCTTTATCATCAGTTGGTTTTCATCATTCTCAGTATTTATCAAATTTTAACAATATTACCAAATTTGAAAAATTAACTTCCTCCAGGTTTTGATAGCTTTTACTGTCAATACAAAAAAAGACTATCAATTCCCACTACTAATTCCAGGTAAGCCTCACTTTATTTCTTACCTATAATATGAACTAGGTGTGAGTTATGATTATGTCATTTGGCTAAAACTTTAGAGAACATTACTTTTCCTAACATATATTACAAAATATTTGTGTTTGATAATGCCTTACCAAAAAAAAAAAAAAAGATATTTTGGGGAAATGTATGCCACATTCCCTTCTTGAAGACTCACAAGGCATATTAGCATGACCTTTGCTTAAAGCAGCATATCACAAGCTTATCTGACCTTGTAAAGCTTTCCCATTCCCACCAGAAGTACTGAAAGCATTTCTAGAAAAACACTCCGGGAAATACTCTTTCGAACTGGTAAGTTGTAGAATTCACTGAGATGAATTATCGTCTCCCAAAGTTTGAAAACTCTAATTATTCAAGTCTAGGAAGAGACAAAGGCCAGCACAAACACATGAGTGTTAAGAAGGGTTTCTTCAAAGCAGCAGGCCACCACCTGATGACTTGAAGACATTCCACTTACTTCAGGAGATTGCCAAGATTGAAAAGAGCCCGGTTATGCTGTGGATGTAGCTGGAGGGCCCTCTGATAGTACATCTTCGCCTCTGCTGTGTCTCTCGTCAGAGTTCCAAGGTTGTTCAGGGCACTTGCATGGCGAGGGTATAACCTGAAAGATTGTAAATAGTATGCCATGATAGTTTATAAAATTCTAAGGTAGAACCAATTTGCTTGTTCTTTTATCCCCAGGTATGTCACAACCAAAATACTGAATTCTTCTTTTATGTTAATGGCTTGTTTGTGTTAAATCTTAATGATCAAATATTTTTACAGCTGAAGTCATAAAATATGGCCGGAAGCACATATTTGTCAGTGGTGTAAATAAATAACCCCCAAGTAGTGCAAAAATAAACAGCATGTGAATCTTCCAGGGTTAAATAAATCTTAGTCCTGTGGGGCCTTCAATGACTTTCAGTTTCCAATGATGGAAAATGCTCCCGGCCTCAGTGCAGAGATTCTGGCCAGTGAGACTGTGGACCTGCTCTCTGTAGAGTATCCACTCTTTATACCAGATGCTAGGAGTTCTTTTGGCGAGAGACACTCACAGACATCTTTGGTCTGGAGCATTAGTAAGACTGCCATGGCTGAGAAAGGATGACATCTAATGTTTCTCCAAAAAAATAAACTTGATCTCCAAAATGGCTCCATCTTGATTCCTTCCAGTTTATATCATTTCCTGCCTCCTACTTCAATTTGAATCCACCTGGCCTGATTGAGTTCTGACTGAACATCTTAGGAGCTGAAAACACTTGAAAATCAAAAACTAAATAAAGCACGGTGAAGTGAAAAACTGCATTTCTAATGTTAAGAAGCAAGTGGAAGAGAGGATGGGGTATACACAGTAAATCAAATTTATGCTGCTCAAGGAAGGAAGGGAATCAACTTACTTCCTTAACTTAAAAGTGTAAAAAAGCCCAAGCAGCACCCCTACTTAATTTAGTTGTTTCCAATTCCTGTAGAGTGGACATATGTAACAGTCTAAGAGGCTTGCCCAGCTCTGTCATGAAGAGTACTACGAACAAGCCTGAGGAGCTGGCTTGCAATGTAGAAGATCCAAGCTAATGCCCAAGTCATAAAAACAGGATCAATGCTTGTCAAGTCTCTTGACAATCAAACGCCATTCTTGCCCTCTTATTCCATACTCTCTAAGAAGATCAATTTAATTTTGGGTCAGAAAGGATTCCTATTAAAAGGTCAAGGAAGATAAGTTGTATAGCTTTTTAATCTTTGCTCAACCCACAGTTTCCCGAGTTATTTGACCCTTCCCTATTTCATTATAGAACGGCTATGAACGTCTCTCAGAACTAATATTTCCAGGAAGATACTCTGTAATATGCCTCTTGACTGACAAGAGATAGATTCAATTCAATTGAATATTACATCCTTCCTAAGCTCAAAAGCCCTAATTATTCACAGTGGCTTTGGAGGCTGTTAGGAGAGAGATAGTTGGAGGAAGCTGGGCAAAGGAAAACGCACAGAGCCAGGCAGCACAGACACTCTTATTTTGTTTTTATTTAAATTACCAGAGGGCATGTGTGCCCACCAGAGAGAAAGTACCCTCTATAGGGTGTGGTCACACTGCAATCCCTTCTCCTTCGTTTCTCCATCCTGTCAGGATTTGGGACATGCAGGCACATGCAGCCACTAAGGCTGGATTTTGAATTATGATCAGCCATGTGGAATCCAGATTTCTATGCCCAGAACCAAACTGTGCTATGGGCTGGGCCTATGCTGCTTTCTGTTTCCCCCTGATTACTGTTAAATAGCACAGATGGCTCGAGGGTCCCTGATATCAGCCCTTAACACACAACCTCACAGCTCCTGGGGGTCCAATGTGTGGCACTCTCTCTGAAAGGCCACTAGAAGATGCCAAAGCTTGACTGCCTGCTTCTTAATTAACACTAAAAATGCTTAGAGACTCCATCTTGCTTTTCTACTTTCCTTTTCTAAACACTTAGCCTTGCCCGTGGATAAGTAGTAATAATTTATCGAGAGAGTCTCGCATGCATTCTTTTGTGCAAAAGCATCTTGGGACTCTTGCCCACTACCCCCAGCAAGATAGGAAAGTAAGCAGTAAATACTTTGTTTTCTTCTTTTAAAATTTTTATTTATTATTATTATTAAGCTTACTATAGAGCAAGTATGCTCACCAGAGAGCAAGACAGAGAAAAAGAGAGAGAAGTGAGAAAGCAAGCCATCAGGTCATGGGCTCCGACTGCAGCTGGCCATGTGAAAGTGCAGTGCCTTAACATGCCACCTGCTGGCCCAACCTTTGTTTTTTTTAAGATCTATAGGGACATCGTGACCAGACTCACATCAGAGTCAGCGGCCATGAAAAGGAGAACTGAGTCCCACCTCAGCACCACAATGTCTGGAAAGGTTTGTCACCTCTGGGCTCTGACATCACCTCCCAGCTTTCACCGTCGCTAGGAAAATCAAGCTTTGCTCCCTTTTCCTTAAGATAATTTTCTAGGACAAACCACCTTCTTGGCTAGCTGGCTTCCTGAATAAAGTCACCTTTCTCCCCACATCCTGTCTTGTGACTTAGTGGCTGTCGTATGGCAAGTGGACTGGGCTTGGACTTGGATTCTGTGATGAGTAGTCTGGTCTCTCCAGGCCCAGAGACAGGTCCTGGCAGTTATGTCTGAGAATTGCTCTGGAAATGGCTGCAGAGCATGACACAGGACACAAATTCTTCCCAAGAAGCTTTTGTGGTTATTTTTATTTATTTATTTATTTATTTTGATATTGAGCAAAGCACTTTAATCTTCAAAAGATTTAAGGGTGGTCCAGAGAACACGGCGAGGGCAGTTCCCATGCTCCTCATCTTTGTTATGAGCGGGAGTACTAGAAAGCACACTGGGCACATGTGCCTTCTTTGATCTCCAGAGAAGTAACTTAAGGCTTTCTCTTTTCCTTAATTCTCTAGACTACAGAGACCCTGAAATAACTGTTTGAGGTAAAAACACTAACTATGGAGAAGAACAGTCTAACTCCATTAGGCCTCCCACAATGAACCCACTCGCGTACAAGGTGCCCGTCTGCTTTGCCAAGCATCTGGGTCTCAGTTCATCTTCATGAACTTTTTGTCACTCACAATCCCACTGCCATTTAATGAGCAGTCATGTACTTTCTTTCTTTTTTCTTCCTTCCTTCCTTCTTTCTCTCTTTCTCTTTCTTTTTTTCCTTCCTTCCTTCCTTCCTTCCTTCCTTCCTTCCTTTCTTCTTTTTTTCTTTCTTTTTTTTTTTTTGCTTCCTTCCTTTCTTTCTTTCTTTCTTTCTTTCTTTCTTTCTTTCTTTCTTTCTTTCTTTCTTTCTTCTTTCTTTTTTTTAAGATTTTTTGCTATAGGGTGCATGAACTCGCTGGAGAGACAGAGAAAAGGGAAAGTCAGAAATCATCCCCCAAGAGGGATAGCCATTTTTAAAACCCTTCTCCTTCATTCTCCTCTTGGGATTTTGGGCATGCATGCATAGATGCCCAGCATCATTTTCAAGCCACCAGGTCCGACACTTGAACCATAGTCAGTCATGTGGCAATCCAGCGCTTTAACTACTGTGCCACCTGCTGGTCCCTAATCGTTTATTAGGTCATTGGAAAAGTCATGACACATTTTTTTCATAGAAAAATGTCATGATTTTTCCGATGACCCAATATTTTCAAAGCTCATTGATTACAGAAATGATTTTCTTTCTCTTTCTCTCTCCCCTCCCTCCCCCAAATCAGAAACAGATTACAAGTCTACCCGGAACTCTCAAAAACAAAACAAGCAGTGAGAAGTAAAGAGAAACAAGTAGGAGGATGATGAGAGAAAAAGTCTTTAAGATATCTGTGGTCTAATATGCAGTCTGCAGGAAGGGATGAGGACACATGGCCAGCTTCAGTTGAGAAAGCGCTTCTATGTTAGCAGAGGGCAGGGATTGCTGGCTTTCATAGCGAGTTACTGATTCTACCCCTGCACAGCCCTCCCTCAAAAAATGTATAGATACTGTTTATGCCTGGTAGTAGTAAGGGTCTGTTAGCAATACCCTCTTTCATCAGTATCTGATTAGGTTCACTTAATCACAAGTGAGACCTGCATTATTCATGAAACAAAGCTGAATTTCACTAAAAGGTTCTTAACCAGGTCAAGAGAATTATTTTTAAAAAGTTTAAACAGATATAGATATTTTCTTAAAACATATACTCCTCTCCAATTTATTGCAGACCCATGCAAGGATGAAATTTATTTTGTGTGTTTACTTTTAAATAAACTTGTGCTTGAATTAGTTTGGGTCTAATTCAATCCTGAGGTCTAGAGAAGGGGAATTTTCTATTGGAAAAATGAATAACTTATAAGATGTCTAGGCTGCTACATCAATGGTCAGGATAAATTAAATCCATCTTGGCTTTGCCTTCTATGCATATATTTTACAAAAGTCCTGTTGATGAGTATTCTCTTTCCTACCCCAAAACTACCTCAACAAAAACTTCACCAAACTGGAGCTGAATGGTGATTTCTCAGGTCCATTTTTTTTTTTTAAGATCACTGTGAACAATCACGGGGTTTTCTTTTTCACAAGTTTACTTGACATTTGTGGGAATTCTTGCTATTTATTATTATTACTGTTTTAATAAGTTAAATTAAAAAAAATTATTTATAGAGGGCTAGTGCATAGCAGTGGTTAAATGCTGTGCAAAGAAAGTGGGATCACATATGACAGACATTGGTTTGAATCCCGGGCTCAGCAGCCAGGTGGTCGCGTGCATGCACATGTGTGTGTGTGGGTGTGTGTGTGTGTGTGTGCGAGCACGTGCTGTAAACCCTGAGGGGGATGGAGAAATGGAGGAAATGGATTACAGTGTGACCCTGCCCTCCTGTGGCTGCTTTCTTTCTCTCTCTCTCCCTGGAAAACACATGCAATTAAAAAAAATTAAAATTAAAATTAATTATAGAGAAAAATGTGTTACATCGTCAAACAGTTTTAGAGCACAAGGGAACCTGATTTTTCCTCCTTAAAAAAGAAATATGGACAAATCTGTAGTTGAATATTATCCTCCAGAATTTAAACAGAAAGCTCAGACCACAACAGAAGTTCGATTAAGTACATGAGACTGAGCTGGTGAACCAG